AGAAAGAAAGAAAGAAAGAAAGAAAGAAAGAAAGAAAGAAAGAAAGAAAGAAAGAAAGAAAGAAAGAAAGAAAGAAAAGAAAATTAGAGATTAAGAAAGACTTTTCTAAGTAGCCCCTAGAGTTAAAAATATTAAAAGAACAATTTTTCCAGACTAAAAGAAAAAATGTGGGGGATAAGAGTACGAATATTTCATACTTCATCCAAAAGCTATTCTTTAAATATGAGAAAGGAGATATAAGCATAGGAGAGAGTCTATATAGATATCCAAAGGAAATTTTATAAAAAAATTGACATTTTCACTCTATGGACAAAGAATTCTTTATTTAATAAATGATCCCGGTATAACCGGCTATCCATCCACAAGAAAACCAAAGTAGACTTTCTTCATAACATATTAAAATAAATTCTAGATTAATTGAATATGAAATATAAAATTTCAAAAACCACAAAAATATTTAAGGAACCATTTAAAACTTGTCTGTATTATCTTGGAGTGGGTGAGAGATTCTTATGTAGGACAGGACACACTACATAAATGAGCTGTGACCCAAAGGAATTCACAATCTAGTGCTACAATAACATAAGCATGTTAGAAGTGGGGACAGACTATGCTATTTTTGAGATATGAACAAAAACTGTGAGGGCCCATAGGACAATTCAATTCTTTCTATGGTGGGCATTAGAAAAAGACTCATAGAAGCAGTATTATTTAAGCCATTTTTAAAGGGAGGAATGGTGTCTTCTAGGTAGCATATGAAAAGGTGTAGAATCATTAAAGGACCTGGTTTTCCAGTGCCAGTGAGAAATTCAGTGTCAATGACATGTAGAATGAATAATGGCACACGTTGAAAATGGACCGATTTGTGAAACAGTTTATGTGCAAAGCTAAAAAGTTTTAACTTAACCTTGACGTCTTTCTCCTGCCTCAAGGTATTGATGGTAGTTGAAGCTATGGTGATTGTCAGATCAACCAAAAAGAAAGGATACTCGTTGTGGAGTGAGAGCACATGGTTTGGCCAAGACTGGGGATTGCAGACCTCAATATCTATACTCCTTCTCCTCCTTATTAGTAGAATCCTAATTTTAGTTAGGATAAATTTGTACCCAGGCTAAAGGTCAATGTCTCAGCCTCTCCTGCAACTAGGTTTATCTATGTGACTAGTTCTGGCTGATACGATATAGGTGGAAATACTATATGGAACATCCAAGAAAGTTTCTTAAAAGGAGAAGATATTCCTTTCTGCTTCTGTCTGTCCTCCTCCTTCCAGACTGCCAAAGGACACGATGTCTGACCATGAGATGAACGGGAGGGTAGAAGCCTTTTATTAGGATGAGGGCTTCCTGAAGACTTTTCTGTGAACAAAAAATAACTTTCTGCCTTGTTGAAGACACATGTACCGAATCTAATTCTAACTAATACAGACCAGTACTAATGGTATTGTAATGAGAAACCTTTTATATTTAAGGTCTGAGAAGAAATTACCAGTTCAAAAGACTGAAAAAGAAGGAAGCAATATACCAGAAACCAAGAGGAGAAGACAGATCCAAGAAGCGGGATGGGTGCAAAATAGTAGCAGATGTTTAAAAGAGGTCAAGTAAGAGGCTTGAATGCAGCACTTTAAATTTAGACTTATGAAATTATTATTGACTTAGGGAAAGAAATTTCAGGAGAGTGGTAATTACATGAAAATCAAGAGGAAATGGGCTTCTGAATGAATGAGAATCAGAGAAGCTGAATTAATATTTAATTTCAGAAGAAGGAAAGTAGAAAAATAGGTTAAAGATAAAGTAAAATAGAAAAGAGATGTCTGATGTCTTTTCTCATAACCAAACAATCTTCCACTACCACGATTCCGCTAATATTGGGTACTGCTTATTAAATGAAAAGAGGTTTATCTAATCCTTTGATAAACTCAAAATCTTCAAAATACATTAGATACAAATGGCCCTTCCTGGCCACTTTTGTTCTGGAACCCAATTCTGTTCCTAGGTAGTGTGCTCCTCTAAAACAAAATATTTTCTGGTCTCAACTCAAAAGTCTGTGAAGGCATATATGTGAATTATGAGTGTGGTGGGCACAGAGATAGATGGAGTTCTGATGTCTGAAAGAAATGAAGCTTCTTTTAATCCTGAAGAAGTTCTTATCCATTTATCCAATGAATGAATCACTTATTCATATTAAGGATTTTCAATTCCACATAAGGAAATACAAGAACACTGGGGTTCATATGTGATTCATTTGCACTGAGCTGCTTTCAAAGTAATGAGTTATTTTTAATAATATCTTGTGTATTATAGAATATAGTTTATGATTGGTAGAAATATAAAGCCAAACCAATTCTGGGAGGATTGTTTATCAATGTGAGAATTATATCTGTTTTTGAAATACTTTTAAATATTTAAAAAATTTTAAATGGATTTTTGAAACAAATTGATGAGACCCTGGAAAAAATTAGGTGTGCACTATGGTGTCTGGTGGAAGACGTAAAAAACAGACTTCCATTTCTATTAGGAAAGGATGTTTCTCCTGCCTTCCTGGATTTTTGCTTGCTAACAGAAGAGATGAACACACTCAGTAAATTTTAAATTCTACAAACATCAGCCATTGTTCATTTCAGTAGCTTTAACTTAAAATGTTGGTTTAAAACCACTCAGATCAAATGGGGGAAATAACTTTTTACTTTGCAATGGCCATCTATGACTTTGGGTGGTGTGGGAAGAGAAGTTTTCAAACCAATGCCCTTCAAGTTATAGAGAGGAGCTACCGTGTGACTCCCCTCCTGAGTACTGAGTGCCCCTTGGTATTTTCTTATAAAAATTTTAAAACCCACAGAGCTATTTAAAGATAAAAAAAAACTCACACAATTTTATTTTTCAAAGCACTACCAACGTCTCAGTTACAGTTAGCTACAGTACAAAGAATAATGAAATAGCACCTGGGATTTTTTTTTTTTTTTTTTAGCAGGTTGTAAAGAATCTTGACTCCTTTACTTTCCTTATTTTCTCTCCACTTCACTAAACAAAGAAAACAATGGCCCCTCTCCCACTCCTTCAGCCTATTGGATCACTTAGGGGCCTGATTTTCATGCGAACAGCCTTGAGGGAATAGTCTGCTCCTCTAAAGGGGACCCAGACCACTCCATTCTCAATCTCATAAGGACTGTTGTCCCTCGGGTCATAGGACCCCCCAGGGTAGTAGACGCCATTGAGATTGGCTGCCTGGCAGTTGTTGTACCACCAGCCTCCCCCATAGACTTCCGCACAGTTCTCTTCCCACTGGTCTGCATCCCTGTCAAAAGTGCTGAACTTCATGCTGTCGTGGGAAGTGTACTCTGTCCCCTCCTCTACAGAACCTTCAATCAGAGCATCGCCCGCAGTGCCCTCATAGGAGGAGACCTGCAGGGCGTAGCCGTCAGCCTCAGAGCCCACCCGGAAGTGATATTCTGCATAAGCCGCTTGCCCGGCCCAGTCCGCTAATTCAACCCTAAGAACAGAGCCCCTCTGGGTTAGCAAGTGGAGGTAGTCATTGCCTAGCCAGAATTCTCCTTCTCCCTTGTCATTCACGCTGCCGAAACCTCTCTTGTAGTCTTGCCAGGTCCGGTTAAAATTCAGTGATCCATCCATTCTTTGCTGGATCAAAAGCCATCCTCCCAAACTGGTCTCTTGATCGCAATAAACAGAAAAAATCTTACTGGATCCCGGTAGCTCGATATTGAAAATGCCACTTTGGGCACCTGAAGGATGTGTTTGGAGGACATCATCACAGTCTAAAAAAAAAATTAAGCTGGTTGGAAAAAGTTACTCTCATTTAACTTTACAAAGATAGGCCCAGATTAAAGAAGGCAAATATTGCTTGCCTGCCTGTCTTCCTTCCTTCCTTCCTTCCTTCCTTCCTTCCTTCCTTCCTCTCAAAAAACAAAAAAACAAACAAAAAACAGAAAGAAACGCAAAGAAAGAAGAAAGAAAGAAAGAGAAAAGAAAGAAAAGAAGAAAGAAAGAAAGAAAGAAAAGAAAGAAAGAAAGAAAGAAGAAAGAGAAAGAAAGAAGAAAGAAAAGAAAGAAAGAAAGAAAGAAAGAAAGAAAGAAGAAAAGAAGAAAAGAAAATTAAGATTAAAGAAGGACTTTTCTAAGTAGCCCCTAGAGTTAAATAATTAAAGAACAATTTTTCCAGGACTAAAAGAAAAAATGTGGGGGTAAGAGTAAGAATATTTCATACTTCATCAAAAGCATTCTTTTTTTATTTTTTTTTCAGGAAGCAGAAATAAACAGATAAAAGCTATTCTTTAAATATGAGAAAGGAGGTATAAGCATAGGAGAGAGTCTATATGATATCCAAAGGAAATTTTATTAAAAAATTGACATTTTCACTCTAGGACAAAGAATTCTTTATTTAATAAATGATCCCGTATAACCGCTATCCATCCACAAGAAAACCAAAGTAGACTTTTCATAAATATTAAAATAAATTCTAGATTAATTGAATATGAAATATAAAATTTCAAAACCACAAAAATATTAAGGAACCATTTAAAACTTGTCTGTATTATCTTGGAGTGGGTGAGAGATTCTTATGTAGGACAGGACACACTACATAAATAGCTGTGACCCAAAGGAATTCACAATCTAGTGCTACAATAACATAAGCATGTTAGAAGTGGGGACAGACTATGCTATTTTTGAGATATGAACAAAAATGTGAGGGCCCATAGGACAATTCAATTCTTTCTATGGTGGGCATTAGAAAAAGACTCATAGAAGCAGTATTATTTAAGCCATTTTTAAAGGGAGGAATGGTGTCTTCTAGGTAGCATATGAAAAGGTGTAGAATCATTAAAGGACCTGGTTTTCCAGTGCCAGTGAGAAATTCAGTGTCAATGACATGTAGAATGAATAATGCACACGTTGAAAATGGACCAATTTGTGAAAACAGTTTATGTCAAAGCTAAAAAGTTTTAACTTAACCTTGACGTCTTTTCTGCTCCAAGTATTGATGGTAGTTGAAGCTATGGTGATTGTCAGATCAACCAAAAAGAAAGGATACTCGTTGTGGAGTGAGAGCACATGGTTTGGCCAAGACTGGGGATTGCAGACCTCAAAATCTATACTCCTTCTCCTCCTTATTAGTAGAATCCTAATTTTAGTTAGGATAAATTTGTACCACAGGCTAAAGGTCAATGTCTGCCTCTCCTGCAACTAGGTTTATCTATGTGACTAGTTCTGGCTGATACGATATAGGTGGAAATACTATATGGAACATCCAAGAAAGTTTCTTAAAAGGAGAAGATATTCCTTTCTCCTTCTGTCTGTCCTCCTTCTTCCAGACTGCCAAAGGACATGATGTCTGACCATGAGATGAACGGGAGGGTAGAAGCCTTTTATTAGGATGAGGGCTTCTGAAGACTTTTTCTGTGAACAAAAATAACTTTCTGCCTTGTTGAAGACACATGTACCGAATCTAAAAAAATTCATCTATTATTTCAGGAAAATTTCCTAAACAAAGTGATAAAAATGCTGAAAATAAAATGACATGTCAAGATATCTAGGCAAATGCAAAGCAAAGGAAATCAGGAGTGATGGCAACATTTATATTTGACAAGGTGAAATTCGATTCCAAAAAAAGAAAACAGGAAAAAGAGGGACATTATGTAATGATAAAAAATACAATCCATACAGAAGACACAATAGTCATAAACTTGCATGCATTAGATAATGAAGGAGGTGACCATACAAAATTCCTAACACTCAGAGATCACACACACACACAAAACCATAGAGTAAGATCTTACTATTAACATATACACACAGACACACACATACAAACATGTATGTGTATATAACTATAAAGACACATATGTATTTCAGAATCTGATAGCTCAATTACATAAAATAGGAAAAGATACAAAATATTTAAATAATACCATCAATAAGCCTGGCATAGAATATTATAACCTATAAATATGAAAATACCCATTATTTTTGCCCATAAAATATTTGTAAAAATTTATCTGCACTGATCCACAAAGAAAACCTTAAAAATTCTAAAATAGGATGAAATAGTTGGTTAAACTAACAAAATTTATAAAATACTTGAAAATTAATAATTAAAAAATGACTCACTCTAACCTCCTAAAAAAGTAACTAATTGGGTTTGAAAATAAGAAAATTAGAGATTGGTCGGGGCACAGTGGCTCACACCTGTAATCCTAGCACTCTGGGAGGCTGAGGTGGGAAGATCGCTCAAGGTCAGGAGTTGGAAACCAGCCTGAGCAAGAGCAAGACCCCGTCTCTACTATAAATAGAAAGAAATTAATTAGCCAACTAATAAATATAGGAAAAATTAGCCGGGCATGGTGGCGCATGCCTGTAGTCCCAGATACTCAGGAGGCTGAGGTAGAAGGATCGCTTGAGCCCAGGAGTTTGAGGTTGTTGTGAGCTAGGCTGACGCCACGGCACTCACTCTAGCCTGGGCAACAAAGTGAGACTCTGTAGTTAGAGGAGCACACTACCTAGGAACAGAATTGGGTTGCCAGAACAAAAGGGTGCCAGGAAGGCCATTTGTATCGTAATGTATCTTTCGAAGATTTTGAGTTTATCAAAGGATTAGATAAACCTCTTTTCATTTAATAAGCAGTACCAATATTAGCGGAATCGTGGTAGTGGAAGATTGTTTGGTTATGAGAAAAGACATCAGACATCTCTTTTCTATTTTACCTTATCTTAACCTATTTTTCTACTTTCCTTCTTTCTGAAATTAATATTAATTTCAGGCTCTCTGATTCTCATTCATTCAGAAGCCCATTTCCTCTTGTTTTCATGTAATTACCACTCTCCTGAAATTTCTTTCCCTAAGTCAATAATAATTTCATAAGTCTAAATTTAAAGTGCTGCAGTTCAAAGCCTCTTACTTGACCTCTTTTAAACATCTGCTACTATTTTGCACCATCCCCGCTTCTTGGATCTGTCCTTCTCCTCTTGGTTTTCTGGTATATTGCTTCCTTCTTTTTCAGTCTTTTGAACTGGAATTTCTTCTCAGACCTTAAATATAAAGTTTCTCATTACAATACCATTAGTACCTGGTCTGTATTAGTTAGAATTAGATTCGGTACATGTGTCTTCAACAAGGCAGAAAGTTATTTTTTGTTCACAGAAAAGTCTTCAGGAAGCCCTCATCCTAATAAAAGGCTTCTACCCTCCGTTCATCTCATGGGTCAGACATCGTGTCCTTTGGCAGTCTGGAAGGAAGGAGGACAGACAGAGAGAGAAAGGAATATCTTCCTCTTTTAAGAAACTTCTTGGATGTTCCATATAGTATTTCCACCTATATCGTGATCAGCCAGAACGATCACATAGATAAACCTAGTTGCAGGAGAGGCTGAGACATTGACCTTTAGCCCTGGGTACAAATTTATCCTAACTAAAATTAGGATTCTACTAATAACGGAGGAGAAGGAGTATAGGATATTGAGGTCGCGCATCCCCAGTCTTGCCAAACCATGTGCTCGTCACTCCACAACCGAGTATCCTTTCTTTTTGGTTGATCTGACAATCACCATAGCCTTCAACTACATCAATACCTTGAGGCGGAGAAAAGCTCAAGGTAAGTTAAAACTTTTTAAGCTTGCACATAAACTGTTTCACAAATTGGTCCATTTTCAACGTGGTCCATTATTCATTCTAGCATGTCCAGGTGACACTGAATTTCTCACTGGCACTGGAAAACCAGGTCCTTTAATGGATTCTACACCTTTTCATAATGCTACCTAGAAGACACCATTCCTCCCTTTAAAAATGGCTTAAATAATACTGCTTCTATGAGTCTTTTTCTAAGTGCCCACATAGAAAAGAACTTGAATTGTCCTATGGCCTCACAGTTTTGTTCATATCTCAAAAATAGCATAGTCTGTCCCCACTTCTAACATGCTTATGTTATTGTAGCACTAGATTGTGAATTCCCTTTGGGTCACAGCTCATTTATGTAGTGTGTCCTGTCCTACCATAAGAATCTCTCACCCACTCCAAGATAATACAGACAAGTTTTAAATGGTTCCTTAAATATTTTTGTGGTTTTGAAATTTTATATTTCATATTCAATTATGCTAGAATTTATTTTAATATGTTTACTGAGAAAGTCTACTTTGGTTTTCTTGTGGATGGATAGCCGGTTATACCGGGATCATTTATTAAATAAAGAATTCTTTGTCCATAGAGTGAAAATGTCAATTTTTTATAAAATTTCCTTTGGATATCTATATAGACTCTCTCCTATGCTTATACTCCCTTTCTCATGATTTAAAGAATAGCTTTTTGGATGAAGTATGAAATATTCTTACTCTTATCCCCCACATTTTTTCTTTTAGTCTGGAAAAATTGTTCTTTTAATATTTTTATCTCTAGGGGCTACTTAGAAAAGTCTTTCTTAATCTCTAATTTTCTTTCTTTCTTTCTTTCTTCTTCTTTCTTTTTTTTTCTTTCTTTCTTTTTTTTTTCTTTCTTTCTTTTCTTTTTTTTCTTGTTTTGTTTTTTTTGTTGTTGTTGTTTTTTTGAG